CGGACAAAAGCAACATGTTTAAGTTAGACTTTCTGGGAAAAAAGTTTGTTACCAACATGTATAACAGAGGAATTAAACAGATCAAAACCTAGGATTGTGGATTGATAACGAATTAAGATTAACTTCGCATGTTACTTACTCATGTCAAGTATCATATGCTTATTTGAAACAACTTTTCCCTAGTCGTCACGTCACTTACTTCCATTGGATACTAAGCTTAAACTTGAAGTCCTATTATTATGATGATGATGATTATTATTATTATTATTATTATCAAGTTCTTCAGACAGATCCGTGCATTTATTCCCTGCACTACCCCTAGTACCGTCCCTCTGGTAACGTCATATCGCCTCTCATTAATACCTGAATGAACGATGCGTCAGACGCTCACAGAGTACCAGTCAAGTGGAGTTACATATGGACACCGGCACGTCGGCCGTTGAAATTAGCAACCGCAGGGTCTTTATAAACTTTAAGGGCAACTGTACGAGGAAGTCTATAATGTGTGAAATAAGTCTAAGGGGTGCATAGAATTACCGAGGCTGGACGAGTATTGATACACTAACAACAAAATATTGCGATACACCCTCACTCAACCCCTATAATCCTCCACTCCCCCATTATTTACCTCTACGAAGGTTTAAAAAATTTTCAGGATCGTCAAAAAACGAAGTTTGAGTAACTTTAATTTTTTTCGTTTTTGGCCACTTAACCGACTTTCAAAACCTGTTAAGCTGCTTAGTCCTTAGTACAGTAGTAACTGTGTTATGAAGATTCCATCTAAAGCGAGCAGTGCCGTCCAAGTTATAGGCGGTCCAAGGAATAGCGGGCAGACAGAGACAAAAAGATGGAAATAAGTGACTTGCTTTTTCGAGATGTACATATCACATAAGATCCAAAAGACATATCTAATTTTCGAAATTTTTCGCGATTACAATACTTTTTTGCCAGTAAAAACTATGCATGATAATTAGAATTTGACGGAGCAAGGAGCATTATGCCATTCGATATTTGATTCTAATTCTAATTTTCGTATTTCCCATTAACAAGTTTACCTAAATATTAGATATACTGTACCAACTGGTGTAGTAGACTGTAAATTTCGAGGAGTAAGGTACAGGGTGTGGCAGAGAGGATGGACGGTTTTAAAAAAATCATAAAATAGTTCATTTTCACTCGAAAACAAATTTATTGATGGAATCAGGTTCACAAGGAAATAGCATTTGAGGCAGTCAAGCGTGGAAAATCACATCAGGCATGTGGTGGCCGAAATCGTTGATGCAGTGCTGGGGGCGTTCTTGGAAGTTCACGTAGACTCTCTCCAACATCGCTCTCTTAACTTGGGCGACTTCCACGCGAATTCCGCCCTTCAATTCGTCCAGAGTGGAGTGGAGAGGTGTCCCCCTAAAAAAAAAGTCGCATATGGATAAATCTGGGGACCGAGGAGGTCAATGAACATCGCCAAACCTGGAAATAAGGCGACCAGGGAAGAGAGGGCGAATAACGTCCATGGATGCTCGGGCTATGTGGGCGATCGCCCCATCCTGCTGGAACCACACACGTCGGATTGAAACACGTCGCCGTCGTAATTTAGGGAGAAAGAAGTTAGTAATCATGTCGACGTAGCGCTCTGAGTTCACGGTAACATCACGACCATTACCGTCTTCGAAGAAGTAAGGGCCAATGATGCAAGTTTGCGATACAGCGCAGCAATCCGTTACTTTTGGGCTGTGCAGCGGTCTTTCGTATAACTGTTTCATTAGCCCAATAACGACGATTCTGCTGGTTAACCATGCTGTTTAGGTGAAAGTGGGCTTTGTCACTCATAGGCGAAAACGCGGTGCTCCACCGTCCAAGGCTCCATAACGACAACTGGTAACATGATGCTAGGATCTCACGAGTCAAACAGCACCCTCCCCACCTCTCGCATAGACGGAGGCGGAGAGTACTACCCATCCCAAAAACGTCCGTCCTCTCTGCCGCACCCTGTACAATAGGCCTAATTAACGGCTGTGCCATTGGGAACTTTGTTGAAAAAGAAAAAAATATATTTGAAAGTATAATGCGTTTTCAATAGCAATAAAATTTGCTGGCCTATTGCATCGTGGTGGATGCGAAACCGTTTGGGCATTGAGCGATGCGTGGGTCTGCAACGGCGGATGATGTGTAATTTAGACCCGGCTATCTCAGAGAGTAATAACTGCCGCCGCGCCGCGTCCAGCGTAATCATCGGATACGCATCTTTGGACTGATGCTCGACGACTCCCGGTAGCCACCGCATTTACTTACAAAGCATCCTATCTTTAACATATTATATAGGGTACCCGAGGAATTTAGGTAGGAAGCAGATATCGCGTCCCAATAGAATTTTTCTCTTAGCTGTTAGATCGCTGTGATTGTCGGTAGCTGGTAGACGAGCATGGAGGTACCACCCGGCGGACTTCTAATGTGGTTCACATGTACACATGTTTCCCAGCTAGACTCCGTGTGATGTCCCTCCCTTTCCCCTGTACCCACGAGTGGACACTTTACATGGAAAAGCTCTGCAGTTGATCTGATGAAAGGAGGACAGGTCCACCTCCATTCTAGCGAATGACTTTGAGACGATTACTGCCTGACCGTATCATGATGCAATTTAATGTTTTTCTCCCTACCTTGTAGAATGTAGTCAAACACAGTACTGGTTATGGACGTAGGCCTAAATGAATCGGGAGTGCATATAGGAGCTTAGATCGGTGAAGACAGATTTGGCATGAACGCATCTCAACAATCGCAGCAGATGCTCTTCGCCATCTTATCTACTCACATCCTAAACAAGGCTTAGATTAGACCCGGCATGGAGTACTGCTCACATGGCTGGGGAGCTGCAGCTCAATATACACTCTCCATACTTGATGTGGTAGCAGATGCTCTCAAGTCCCCTTCACATCGACAGCCGGTTCAGTTTTACCGATATATAGGATTATGTTCATTTCAATGACGTTCAAGACCTGCCCCTCATTTCGGAATTGAACTCATAACTAAAAATCAGAGGCTGGGAAAAGGATTTTCAAACTCATTGGATCCTTAAAGAAAATTCGACAATGCGAGCTTGGTATAAATCGAAGGAACAGTGTCTAATGGGGTTCTCTATCTCTTTCTATTAACCAGGAGCGAAGTGCATAGTAGAGGGACTAGGCCAATCGCCAGGCACGCGGTAAATACAAAGGGAAAAATCGTTGCGCTGATAGTGGAATACAGGTGTGGACTATTTGGTCACGGTGAAGATTGGTACATGCCATTCAACAAGACGTCAGCTGGAAGCAGGCGTGCCCCAGGGGTCAGCCTTAGCCCCCCTGCTCTACAACATCTATACTTACGATGTGCCGAAGACAGCTGACACAATGCTGGCCCTATATGCAGACGACACTGCTATAGCCGCCAAGCATAGACGACCCGAGATCATCCGTAGGAGACTACAGGGTGAACTGGACCAAATTCAGGACTGGTGCGTGAAATGGAAAATCCGCATCAACGTCCAGAAGACGCAGGCAATCTTCATTCAACGAAGAAGGATTGCAAGACCTCTCGAAGCATCCATCTTCGATGAAGATATCCAGTGGAGCGACAATGTCAAATATCTGGGGATCGTTTTTGACAAGTCCCTCACCTGGAAAGCGCACATAGAAGCTGTCATCGCAAAAACCAGAGCAGCCATGGCTCAACTCTATCCATTACTGGGTAGACACAGCCAGATGCCGCTAGCGACCAAGCTACGGCTGATCAAGGCCATCGCCAGACCTCAGCTCGCTTACGCCTCCGCGGTCTGGGGGTACGCTGCCCCCAGCTACCGCAAGCGACTTGCTGCTCTAGAGATGAAGCTACTCCGGATCGCCACCAATGCACCTTCCTACGTAAGGAACTCAACCTTGCGTAGAGACCTGCATTGGGATACCATCCACGAGTACATGAGGAAAAAAGCGGAGAAGACCTTCGAGAAAGCTCAGGACCACCCGAACGAGCAGCTACGATTCCTCATGGACTACGATCCGGACGAGAGGCCTCGCAACCGCAGAACCAGGTACCCCAGACCAAGGTCCCAGTTGGCACCCGCTAACTGGAACCTTGACTAGGAGACTAGGAGAATTTGCGGCTGCTCCCCCCCCCCACGGCGTGGATGCAGAGGACCAGGAACCACCGGGACCAGGACCAACCAGGACCCGCCACGACCAGGACCCACCAGGACCAGGACCCTTCAGGACCAGGACCAGGAACAACATATTGGTAAGATGACTTGAAACTCTTGATTTTTCGAAAACAAGAGTTTCAAGAGAAACTAGCAGACCCTCTATCGATGATCGCTTAACGACATCGATAGAATGTGCGAGGTAAAGGGAACCAACCCGGCGTTCCCAGAGACTGAAACACATGAGGAGACGTTGTAGCAGACCGCAGGTCACGCACAACACATGGCCTACCGAGACGCTGATGAGTCGGGCCACGCGGAGGTTTAGGGTTTAGTGGGTATTAGGTGATCTCTTCAAGACCCTGGAGCCCCACACACGTCGTAGCTCGTGCTATGGTATGGTGCGTAAATGCATTCCCCCCTCGTTAAAAAAAAAAAAAAAAAAAAAAAAAAAAAAAAAAACTATTTGGTAAAATCTGTACCGTAGCAGTGGTGCAAATAATCCGGTTCCATCATTTGTCAGATCAAAAGAGAATGTTCAGTTTGAAATCCAAATTCTTCCGAACCTCAAGTCGACTGAATGTCTGTTACTTTCATTAATGTGCGCAAGCACAAATGTTTCAATCCAGTATCTGCTAGGTGGCGCTGCCATCGCGCAGCCAACAGATACGGCTTAGTATTGAGTTGACGTAGGTGTTCTTGATTCGGATTGTGGTTATCGAATTTCAATCACCCTGTAAATGAACAGACTTCTGTCTAACTCCACGGGAGTCTTGTATACACAGTTGGATGACAAAAAGTGACTCTAGCTGTCTGGACTCTTAATAGATTTCAGATGCTATCAACGCAGATAATGGTAGATCTTCAACGAAGATCAGTTTCAGCTAATAATAGTTGCCGGCCGAGTAATGACATGCCATCGCTTGACGTTCATTTTGCCTCTTCACGTGTGTTTGTGTGCTTTGACTCGCTTCACTGCGATAGATGTTTTTTCAAAGTGAGATTGCTTCTACGTTGTAATGACCAGTTCCTGATGGAGACTGGGAGTCAGAAACGGGCAAGTATCCCTTCAGGGGATAAGTTGATAACGTTGGCGTCACGCGTTTTACACAACGTGAAGATGAGATATGAAATGTTAAAGATTGCCTTGATAAGATACGGAGGTTTGAATGGTTTTGAGCATAATGCTACTTTGAACTGGCGAATACTAATAATGAAGTGTGTAGCTGTAGCTCTTACAGTAGAAAATTCATATTGGTCTACAAATATAAGTAGAGGAAGTCACAGAGGCTTGATCCGTTTTCTCCATAAGAGCATATAAATTCATGATGAATGGACGTATTGCTATAATTATAATTGCATAGAAAAGTGCAGTCAGCATCAGTTTATTAAATGACTTATGTGGATATCTTACTTAGTTGCCGTGCTGTCGGTTTTATTGATCATGGCATTTGGCTAATGATCTCACACTAGGGTGGGAGATCATTCCCCAGAAATGGAGCTGCCACGTGATTTATAGTTGAAAATGCTTATAGTTTACATCGCTTATTGAAAAATGCAAATATCTTCTGTGATATAATTTAAGCCGACAAATTGAAAATCAACTCAGCATAAGATAGCGCGTATAAGTGGACTAAGGGTTTAACCTAAAAATCAACTATTGTCAATCTTTTGTCTTTAGATCAGATCGCGCTCTCTATGCTGTAGATCAAACGAAACGTTCAATCAGCATAAAAATATCTAAATCATCAAAATTAATAAGAAATAATAAAATAATCAGAAAGTAAACATGCATTTAGTTATTTTTATCTTCCACCATTACATCTGATCCGAACTGTCTCTCACGTGAGGGTAAACATAGGTACGTCTTAGTTGTGGAAAGGTCACATTAGATTCCTGCGTCTATAGCTGATATTCATCCTCTTTGGTAAACTCTATCTACTCCTCACCGTTAATAATAATAATAATAATAATAATAAAATGTCTTTACGTAGGCGAAGTCTAGCTCTTGGCTACTCTACTTAACCTACCCAAATACTAAATTGAAATACTTAATCAAAGGAAACTTTGACAATCAGCAAAAGACGCTTCAAAACAATGAGCTTGATAGCTTCCTGACATACATAATACATATATATACACACATATGCTACGTAAAAATAAAATAAAATGTAAGAATTAAAAACTAACTTTTCCACAATTACTACAATGACAAATAAATCTGTTTCACATGCTTACGAAATCTGTTTACTGGCCAATCCTTTATATTGTCATCTAATTCGTTATAAATCAGGATAGCATTGTAAGTGTATGAAATACGAAATAAAGTTGTTTTATACATAGGGATCTCTTGTCTTTTTGTGTGTCTGAAATCAATGTCTGAATTATTTCGTCTGAAAACAAATTTCTCATAAAGATACAAGGGGGACCGAGAAGATATGATCTTCTGGGTAAACACTGCTATCTAGTACAAGCATTTTCTATACACATCCAACCAAGCTGAAATCTCTTTAAGGAAACATGATCATACATCTTGAGATTCAATACAAATCGACAACAGGAATTTTGGAGTTTTTGGAGTCTTGCTTTTGTGATAGAATCAAGACAATGATAGAACACAGTGCTACAGTAAAATAAGCTTGGAAATATAATAGCCTCACATAACTTTTTTCTAACTTTAAAATTCAAAATAGAGCGATTGACATAAAAACACTTCAAAGTTGCATAACATTTTTTTAAGATAGACAAAACATGCTCTTTAAACAGTAAAGTATAATCAATAATCAACCCTAAATTTTTTGTAGTATTTACGACAGCTAGACGCTGCTTATCGATGTTTACATCAAGAGAATTCAATATAGTGTTTACGTTTGACAGCAGGACAAAAAAGCATCACTGAGCACTTATCCTTAAGATTGTTACCATTTGAGTATCCTACTATTGCCTCCAAATCATCATTAAGCTCATTGATTGAAGTATGTAAAGTGTTACTATTAAAGCTCTTATATATCTGTGTATCATCGGCATAGCACATCACAGAAGAGTTTTTCACAGAGCTACCCAAGTCTATAGTATAAATTAAGTACAACAAGGGCCCTAAAACTGAACCCATGTTACATCATTTAACAAATTCGATCTACCTCTATTCATACTTTATCTTACTTGAACAAATACATACTTTTTGCCTTTAACGAGTATGAAATCTAATTGCAGTAAGAAGCACATTTGAAAAATGCATAAACCTTAAAATCAATCCCTTACTTAAAATTAATTTTGATCTTTTATCCACGTCGTTGCTTGTCAAATCTAATGGCACAGGCATTATTTCCAAATTTACAGTAACAATAATGATGGAGAGAGAGAGAGAGAGATGGGGTAAAAGACTGGCCAAGAACCAGGCAACTGCACACTGAAATGAATCTTCAACAACACATGTCAGCATTTAATCTAGGAGCTATTGGACTTCGTAGGAGTTTATTAGGATTTTTGAAGCAGCTGATCTTAATGCTTAGAACGACTGGTCCCTATCACGTTCGGTTCAAGGTCATTGTAAGGTCAAATCCAAAAAATTGCTTGAAGAATTTTGAAAATGGATCATTCATGTAGTTCTTGGAGTCACTAAATCCAAATCTCGGAGCATAGCCTCATCCTGATTCCATCCTGATTCCATCTTCTTTATATATATATATTCTCGATTGAACCACATCTGTTTCTTCCTTTTCTTAACTAATCTAGCACAACAGATTCATTATGCTGCTTTGAGAAGGCGATGCTGCGACCTTCGATAGGGCTTGACCTTATTGTCACCTGGAATATGCTGACTTGAACAAGCATATTTCTCAATTGCAAGTGCTGCTAGGAAGACATTTGGATATTTGTTGGACCTCACCTTAGTAGTAGTTCAAGTCAGACATGGCAGTGGAGATGCTGACCTGACTGAGCTGTCCATAGTGGATGTTGTACAATGAACAGCAACTTGATTTATCGGCAACACTTTCTCAACATTCTCTCTTAAATATCCTGATTATCGACCTGCAGTTCGTAACTTGACCCACTTCTAGCTGTATACCAAAATGTCCTGTTTCTCCGAGATCCTCTCCACGACGTCACCGAGTTATGCGCTCCACACACAGCTTCTGTTCGTTCAGTGGTCGGTGACTGTGTCTGGGGTCCGGCCATGTGAATTCCGTCTATATAGCCTAGCAGAGTGAACGGAATCTGGCGGGATCTTGGACTCGATCACTGACAGGTTGGTGAGAGCTGTATGAATAGGGCTTTTGACTCAGTCGCAGACACTTAGTCATTCTCTTTACATCATAGAGTAGCTGCTTCAACCACTTTTTGTTCTTGTAATCAATGAGCAACAATCTTGTCTTTGAGGTTCTGAACAACAAGGTATAAAAAATATCCCACAATTTGAAAAACTGGCGAATACGTACGACCTGAATAATGAAAACGAAATAGTGAAGTGGGGCAACTTTCATATTGCGAAGCAGAAAGAAGAGTAGTTTGTGAAGTCTTAGTAACTTAAACTAACGATTCGGGACTTGTATGAGTATATGAAAACGAGATTCCATGATAGTCTTGCCAAATGAAACTACATACACCTATGTACAGTAATGGTCAAAACTATATATGAAATATGAATATTTACCAAAATTCCTTTAGAAAACGAATTCATACTTTGTTTTTACATTATCTGCAATGAACGCAATACAAGTCTGAATATAAGCACTTTTTTATGAGGGACAAAAATATGTAGACAAATTCTTTTCAACATTAGTTTAGTACAGTTTCGTGTCATAAGAGGATTAGTTTATGTTCATCAAGTATTGTGGAATAAGTCGAGTGATTTTAAGACCATGCCGCGTGGTCCAGAAATTTCTTTCGATGTGAAAACTAAGATCATTATCATACAAAGGTGGTCAATGTCAAGTCGACATTGCCAAAAATTTGAAGCTGAAGCGTAAAGAAGTTTGGGCAATATTGAACAAATATAAACAAAAAAAATCTTGGAAGCCTCTAAGAGAAGTGGTAGGCCTAGAAAACTAAATGCTAGATCAGTTAGATTAATAAAAGTAATTTCGTCCAAAGATCCGTTTAAAACCCCAAGACAAATAAAAGCCAAAATCGAGACAAAAGGAATTGCCAGTGTTTCTACGAAAACTATAAGTAGAAGATTAAATGATTTGAAGTTATTTGCACGTCGCCCGGGTAAGAAGCCGCTAATCTCGAGGAAAAACCGTGAGGACCGATTACAATTTGCACGGTTGCATCTTGATTGGAGCAGCTGTGACTGGAAGAGGGTATGTTTCAGTGACGAATTCAAGTTCAATATTTTTGGATCAGATGGTGTTCATTACGTGAACCCCAAGTACACTTTGCCCACTGTCAAACATGGAGGCGGGTCTGTTATGGTTTGGGGATGCTTTTCGGGGTTTGGGATGGGACATTTACATAGAATAGATGGCATTATGGATAAGTTTGTATACACAGACATACTAAAGCATGTCCATGTTACCTAATATGGAAGACAATATGCCCTTAAGATCAATCTTCCAGCAAGATAATGACCCGAAGCACACCTCAAATCTCGCAAAGAAATTCTTTCTGGATGAAAAAGTACCAGTTCTCAAATGGCCTTCACAGTCTCCCGATATAAACCCCATTGAAAATCTATGGGAATACTTAGATAAGCAAATACGAGATAAAAATTATTTAAACAAGGATGAACTTTTTGCCACTCTAGAGCAAAAGTGGCGACAGATTGATGAATCTTTTATCAAGACACTTCTACAATCTATGCTGAGACGATGCCAGGCAGTGATTGATAATAATGGTTATGCTACAAGATATTAACACAAACATTCTATAATTGTTTTGCTTTGTCTATATATTTTTGTCCTTCATAGTTCCAGTTTTTTTCAATTAATTTCTTATTGAAGGGAGTTTAATGAATTTATTTATGTATAAGTGAGTATTATGCTATAATAACGAATTATGTATACAGGTTGGTGTATTAATAAAACAAGTTAAAAAAGAAATACACCACAATATCAATTTGTCTATATACTTTTGTCCATTACTGTATGTGTGAATTACTTCTTTTACTTCTTTACTGACGTTCGCCCATTAAGGTATCTTTTTTCTTCGTACACTTATCATTGTCAACTGTACTTTGAAAAATTCCATCATGATAACCAAAACTTTACTGAAGA